TGGTTTGGAGTGCTTGTTCTTGTGCAGCAAAAATCAAGCCTTTGGTTTCTTTCTTAAGGGTCCCCAGTTTTAGCCATGCCCATGTTGAATTATGATAATGTTTTCCATCAATAGTTCTGAGGAGTTGTCCATGTAATGATTTATTTTTCCAGCTGTTTAATTTATTTTCACATTGTTGTTTCTTATATTGTGCCTTTGTTTGCATTGTTTTCAAAATATTCTCCATTTTCACTGCTTTTAGTAATTTTCTCTGCTTGTACTGATATAGTCATTTCGGCTTCTTTTTTCTTCCTCTACTACCTGCTGTATTTGGAGTAATCTGATTTTTCATGGCAAATATAATCTGTCCACATAGCTTTTTGGATGTAGTGTGTGATGCTTGTTCATTAGTTTCCATGTTTTTGATCCAATTCTTCCTATTTGTTTTGAGTCCAATCTCAATCATCATCATTATTAAATTTCAAATGCTGTCTAGCTCTTTGCTGGTTATTTCTTCTTCAGTATTTTCCTCTGCTGTTTCAGTGTCTCTTGTGTTTGCTTTAATTGGATTAGTGGTATTACTTTTCACTGGTGTTTTCATTTTATTTTTTTATTTTTTATTTTTGGTGGTGCTAGCAGTTTCAGAAACCATTGTATGAAGCAGAGCACATACTTTATATAAATAAGTAAACATAGCATTCAGTCTTCAAAAATAAAATCCTATTAGAAACATGCCTACAGGTTTCACTGGGCTCAAGGAACAGATCCAATTAGGTGAATGCAGTCCCTCGCTCATGCCCAGCTATTTCCATTTGAGCATCCTTCTTCAAGTCAGCTGCAATATTTCTGTGGCCTTTTTCTTTTTTTTTCTGATCCCTTTGGAAGGGTCGAGTGAATCAAACCCATCTTTGTTGCACTGCTGGATAGCTCAGTGGTTGGGAGTTCGGTTCCCCAACCACTTGACAGGGGCTGGACTCCATGTCCGCTCCAGCTCTGCCGTTCTAAGATTATTATCATAGAATTGCTTCCTGATGATGTGTCCTTAAATTTCATGGTCATATTTAATTTCCCAATGGAAGTGGGGGTTGGGGTCTTGTACTATAAGCATATGCAGCCAGAAGAGGGCCATATGTGAATTACAATGAAAAACCCACTTTGCTCACCCACATTATTGCCCAGGTGATCACAGGAATGCCTCATATGGATTGTTCTTCTCATACAGAGTTTGGCTTTGTGTGCATTATCTAGCTAAGAACAGGTGTCAGATAACAGTTTTTTTTAGTGAACGGTGTTTTTCTTTTGAACAGCTGACCTGAACAAGGGCTATGAAGTGTGTGCTGTGAGTTGTAAGTGTGGCCCTTTCCCCCACAGATCCAGAATCACTCAGAGGTTTTCATGCCTGTCTTAATTTTCCTTGAATGTAGTCTAGATTCTTCCAGTTGGAATGTTCAAACTATGGAGTAATCGAGAAGAAGAGAGACAGGGCTTTGGGGAGAAGTTTGACTGGATTGGGTAGGTTGGCAGAGACAAGCAGTTCTTGAGATGATATTCCCCACTCCCGACTTGCAATCGTTCCGAAATTGCTCAAATTCTAGTTTTTATTCATGGGAAGCCTGATGTGATTTCCTCTCTGATCAGGTGGGAATCTTGCTTCTCCTCCGTCACCCCCCAAAATAATCCCAACAATGCTACGAATGCTATGTGCCACGTGCTGCTAAGTTGGAGAACCAACTTTCATCAACCCTAACAGGGTAAGCGAGATATTTAAGTAGTTCTACTCGTTTCATCATCTCCCTCTGATTTTCCATGACTGAACAGGGATGTGAACCAAGGCTTCTTAGTCCAGCACACTGCCCACACGATTACACTGGGTATCAGCAGTGCTACTAAAGCCATCTTTATTTTCAGGAAGTAGGAATGACAATGAAGATAATGATGATGATAAGTCTAAAATCCAGCTGGAGCTTCCTGGCAGACTCAGTAAATCAGCTTCTTGGGGGACCCAGGGGCATGGGAGGCAAAAGAGGAGAAGATGCACAGATGAGGGAGGAGGAGGCAGAGAAATGGAGCAAGGAGAGGGTAGCAAGATGAGGGGAGAACAGGCAGTAGAGAAATAGTTGGAACAAGCAGAGGAGGAAAAGATCAGCGTAAGAGAAGGAGAGAAACAGTCGAAGGAGATAAGAGACATAGAGAGCGTGAAGAACTGTGGTGGGTAGAGGGAGAAATGATAAACAAGTACTGTACCTAAGGGAGACAGAGAGAGATTAGGAAAGAGGAAGGTGAATTTTGGCAGGGAATTTGTGTGGTGGAGCGGAGAAAGAGGGCTTAGTTAGGAGGCATTTAGAGAGGGAGAAGATGCATGTGGCCAGTTCAGGAAGGGATGGGAAGAAAGAGAAAGAGGATGAGAGATAAGAAAGAACACCTACAGATAGAGAGTGAAGGAGCAGGAAGGAAGGGAGAAAGGAATTATTGGCAGGAGAGTTGTGGAGGAGAAAACAGCTGTTAATCCATCTGCGTATGCCCTCCATTAAAAAAAATATCTAATGGGGTGAGATAGTGAAGAAAAAGCTTATTGGTTATCAGGATGGCCAGGACACTACCCTTTTCCTTCCCTGTCATTGATCTAGAGGAAGGAAGCCTGCCATCATCACCAATGGACATGTGGCAGGACTTACTTTGCACTTTGTCAAAGAAGAGGAAAACAATGATGATGATGATGATTAGAAATGGAGATGTGCTGCCAAAATAGTGCTTTGTCTTGGTTTGTCAAACTTGATTACCTATGAATCACAAATTGCCCCAGTGACCTGACGAAGAACAAATCAATTTGTCATTCGCCGGGTCATTTTCCCACCCTTTCCCTCCTCTTGCTATGCCCTGCATGCTGTAGCAAGAGGAGGGAAAGCAGGGATCAAAGCGATCCCGCAGCAGCTGGAGGATCCCTTTGGTCCTTCTTTGATCCCTTCCCTCCGCTTCTTCTGCAGTGTAGGCATAGGAAGAGGAGAAAAGGGGAACCAAGTTATTCCCCAGTCCCGGGGGTAGAATTCCCTTTGGGCAGGCTTTAGCAAGCCACCCGAAAGGAAAACCCTTCTCTGCTTATGCCCTCAAGGAACAGCTGTGGGGGCATAAGCAGATAAGGAATGAAGAGACGAATATAAAAGGGTTATATTCGTTGCTTCATATTTGTTGGGGTTACTGGACCTCAAGAATACGAAGCACCAAATATCTGATGAATCAGGGATATTTAATGAATATCCTGATTCATTTTTATATTCGTCCCCATGTCTAGTGATGATGATTAAATGGCTCTGAATTGCCAGGGATAAGGTCCTGGTCTCCAGCCCTTCAAGTAGCATCATTTGTCCTTTTGCCCCTGTGCTCAAACAGAAGCATTTGGCACAGGCCAAGAGGACGAGTGGTCATAGAAATGCTATGTTGACAGTTGCTGGGGCAGGTCATATATATTATGGACATGTCAATGCGCTCTGGCACTCCAGCACATGATCTACACAAGGATGGGTTGCTTGAGTCCTCCCTTGGTAGCCCAGTTCTCATTGTGCATTTCATAGATTTCTGAATATGGAAGAGAAGCCCTGTATCAACAGAGCATGCCATGTGTGCATTCAACTTGCTACTCTTCTTGGCAACCCACATGAAGAGTAACTTAAGAAAAGAGTATGAGTGTATTAGTGTGTGTTTGTTTGATTTTAAAGAACTGGACCACACACAATTCCGTATATTTGCTCCTCTCTGGATATTTTTTAGAGAAAAAGCCCATAACATTGCCCCCTGTCATCAACAACTCAGGTTATGAGTGATGAGAGGAACCTGAAGACTTTGGGGGAGCAAAGAGGAGGATTATCTGCCTGCTTGGCATAACCTCAAGGTTTGCAGAAGTACAAAATATCCTCTTTAAAACAAAAACAAAAAAGAACATCGACCATTTAATAGAGCGACCCCTCTCCTCCTGAGTGAGAATCAGGATGAGTCATGAAATGTTAACATGGACTGCACTACAAAAAGATTCATGCCATAATAGATGTATTTGCTATTTAAAAATTCATGGAGGGTGTTCATAGAATTGTAGAATAATGGGGTTGGAAGGGGCCTACAAGACCATCAAGTCCAACCCCCTGCTCAGTGCAGGAATCTAAATCAAAGTATATTTGACAGATGGTTGCTTAATTTTCTCTTGAATGCCTCCAGCGTTGGAGCGCTCACCACCTCCTGAGCTAATTGGGTCCATTGCCGTACTGTTCTAAATCAGCCTAAATCTGTCTTCCTGTAACTTGAGCCCGTTATTACTCGTCCTGCACTCAGGGATAATAAAAAACAGATTCTGCCCCTCCTCTGTATGATTGCCTTTTAAATATCATCTATCCCCTCAGTCTTCTTTTCTCAAGGCTAAACATGCCAATTTGACCCAACTCCAGGAGGCAGTGGAAGACAGGAGGGCCTGGCGTGCTCTGGTCCATAGGGTCACGAAGAGTCGGACACGACTTAACGACTAAACAACAACAAACATGCCCAGTTCTTTCAGTTTTTCCTCATGGGTTTCCAGTCCCCTGTTGTGAAATTTTGTGTTGTGTCGTGTTGTGAAATGGCCAGTGTGAAATGAAGCCCAAGGAGAGAATATTGCTGACTTATTGGTACACCCTTCATTGTGAGCCCTTCTGCTGCCTGGGCAGCAAACTTGGCAGCACTTGGGGGATTTGCTCCCTCTCAGCTGATGTAGAGGCAGGCTGTGTTGTGTCATGTTCACCCTTCATTGTGAGCCCTCCTGCTGCCTGGGCAGCAAACTTGGCAGTACTTGGGGGGGTTTGCTCCCTCTCAGCTGATGTAGAGGCAGATCTGCTTTGTGCTTGGAAGCCCTCCCATGATGCTCTCGCAAGTGTTGACCTGTGTAACCACTGCCTTGCCCTCACTGGGAAATGCTTCCAGGAACAGAATGCTGACAAGGATGGAATAGTTCATCCCTTGCCCCTTTTCACTGGGTTTTCTTCTTTCCCTCCTCCTGGCAGGAACTGAAGGACAAAATGACAGAGCTGATGCCGCTGATCCCCGTGCTGGACCAGTACAAGTCGGACACCCGCACCATCGTGCAGCTGAAAGAGGAGGTGAGGAACCTTTCGGGTAGCCTGCTGCAGATCCAGGAAGAGATGGGTGCCTATGACTACGAGGAGCTTCAGCAGCGGGTGCTGGTCCTGGAAGCACGCTTACATGCCTGCATGCAGAAGCTAGGTAGGACCCTTGGCGGCTCCTTTTAACTTTTCTCCTTCTAGTTGATTCACACGTCCACAAGAGGGTTCATTCATAAAAGTCTCCTTCTGATTTCATCAGCCTTTGAATCTGGAAGCAGGTCATCTTTCCATCCATAGCCAAGGCTGGTGGGTGTGCAGGCCTCCAGAGGTCTCTGAACTGCAGTCCCCATCAGCCATAGCCTTCCTTGCTGGCCGTGAGGAACAGTGGGGGTTGGAGTCGTTCGTCCCTGTCACAGGTGGGCAACTCTTCCAACTTTCCATTATAACTCCTTTCCGGGCCAACCAGGGGCAGCCCTCACAAGAACCTTCTCACCTGTATCAAGAATGCTTTGGAAATGACACTCTATCATGACAGAGCATTGTTTCCAAGGTGCATTCTATCCCTTCATGGGTGGGAGAAGTTACTTTTTTCCTGGTAGAATCGTCTTTGAGCCCCTCTACTACCTCATTGTTCTTTACGGTTATCCCTCCCCATCAAAGTCACTTATATCCTTGCTCAGAAGTGGGAAGTTTTTTCCTCAGGTATAGGAAGAGTGTCCTCCAAGTGCTCAGAGGAGACCTGGGCTATTTTTCTCAAAGGGGTAAAAAAGTTTTAGTGTAAAGAATAGCAAGTAAAATGTTGTTATTAGTTGAATACAGGAAAGTCTTGCACCATTGGCTGAGATGAGGCCTGAACTGTGAGGTAAGGCCTGGAACTAAAGGCCCTGATGCCCCAACCCCCTTGTAGGGCCTGATGGGAAGTGTTAGAGTTTGGGAGGTACTAACTCCCAGAATATCCTTGTCCATATGGCCACGCTGGCCGGGGGATTCTGGGAGCTGAAACCCAAACAAGCAATATTTTTAATCTCTCTACCTTCCCAGCTTTGTCCAGTTACAAACTGCTGGAAAAGTGTGGACTGGAGTTCAGAAGAGAGAAAATATTTTCTCCAATTTTAATGAGACCTAACCATTGAAGGAGTAGATGTGTTAAATGCCCTTTGCTTGCTCTGTTGGTGGCTATTCTCCTCAGATTAGATCTCACCAGGGCTCTAGCAAAATAGACAAAATGGGCTTCATTAAGAGAACAGCGTTAATCAGCTTTTGGGTATGCAGTGAGCGTTCTGTAGAAGAACATGCAGTCCATATGGTTGGATTAAGATGTCTTCATCTTAGAATTGCAGAGCTGGAAGGGACCCTACGGGTCATCAGCCTCTGTCAAGGAGGCACAGTGGGGAATCAAACTCCCAACCCCTGGCTTCACAGCTATATAACTAAACCATTAAGCTATCCATCAGTCAATATCTGAGAATAAGAACTGAGAGTAAGAGCTGGGTTAAGGAAACTATAACTAAACCATTAAGTTATCCATCAGTCAATATCTGAGAATAACTGAGAGTAAGAGCTGGGTTAAGGAAACTGGCTGAACTTTGGGATGCTATAAACATCTGTTGCAGCTGATAATAAAATGCAGGAAGTTAAAGGCTGAATTTTGAATTGGTCTCTGGAAATTCGGAAAGACCCATTGCTCTTTACGCAGGAAGTCCATTGTAACAAGCAACAGCCTGTTTGTGAGCTTACGGATTAACCCTCCCAAGGGCTTTTGAGCTCAAAACTACTTGCGGGTGGCTATTCTCTCCTCTCTGTCTGTGGTGGAGTTAAAGCAGAAAGCCCACACTCTGTTATTATCATGGTTGTTACACATTGTGCTTTACAAGATTAAATAAAACAGTGCACCTCTATAAACCTAGGAGCCTTTAACACTAGGGAAATTCAAAAATAAAATAAAAGAAGAAAAGGGAGAGTGAAGAAAATATAGAGGGTTAGAAACAGATACTTCAGCGAGAGTCAGTTTATCTCAGGCCTAAATTTCATAGAATGCCAACCTGCAATCGAAGCAAATGATAGAGTGTGCCACAAACAGAGAACAAGAGGGCACCCTAGTGATGGAGAGGATGGTGAATGCATTTAATAAAGACAAATTGAGGAGCACACAGCATGTAGCAACTCAGTTCCCTACCGGGTGGGTTTTTTTGTGGTGTTTTTTTTTAACGTCTCTCCACCTCCCCCACTTTCCCCATCCTTATCTATTGTCAGCTTTGGCCGTCATTGGGCAAACCTTTTCAAACCTTCCTTTTTTGCCTGCAGAGTGTGGATTCCTTCCCATATAGATTAGGAGAATATGCTTGCATTGTATACCATCTTGTCCTGGGCTATTGCTCCTTGCTGGAGATAATGCTTTGTCTGCAACAGGTCTCAGGTTTAATGCAAAATAAGCAAAGATACTCTTTTTTATTATTATTATTTAGGCAGTGGGGACTACAATTCCCAGAATATCTAAGCATTACTTTGGTTTTATGGATTGGATCTCCTATTTTGGGGCTTAATCCCTGTTAAGAGCCTCATGGTGCAGTGGTTAAACTGCTCTACTACAGCCACAACTGTGCTCACGACCTGGGGTTCAATCCCAGGTAGCCGGCTCAAGGTTGACTCAGCCTTCTATCCTTCTGAGGTCAGTAAAATGAGTACCCAGCTCGCTGGGGGGGGGGCAGCAATGTGTAGCCTGCATAATTAACTTATAAACCGCCCAGAGAGTGCTTGAAGCACTATGGGGTGGTATATAAGCAGCACGCTTTGTTTTGCTTTGCTTTTTATCTCTTGGGCTACTCAGAAAGGCTTCTGTCTGAAACTCTGAAGGTAACCAAACCCCTATTGCTGCCTGGCACACAAAAAAACATGGGAAGGTAGATTGTTCCTTAGTCACTTCCATACTTCATAAGCAGAAGACTCTGGGTTGAATCTACAGCATTGTCAGGGAGAACTGGGGGAAAGGCTCTGTCTGAAACCTTGAAGACCCAGCAAGCAGCCAGTGTAGACCAATCTTCTCCTGACCTCTAGGTATATTGGTGGACAACTTCCATTGTCTCTAGCCACAGCTTCTGGAGAGACTGTCATTGATAATCCAGACACTTCTTTAGAACGCCGGGTTAGGGGTGGGGGACTGATGTAGTCAATACTAAGCTAGATGGTGGCCTCAGCGTGAGAAAGCTTGCTGTGTTCCAACTGAGCCATCTTTGGGGAGGCACCACTGCTGCTCTTGGCATCCTTCCATTGATCTTTTGGTGACTCGGGGCTCCCAGAACAATGGGACGATGATATATCTTCACATGCCGCATGCTTCCAAAGGAAAAAGTGGCACATCTGTCCCCAGATATCCATAGCTGCTTTGCACACTCGTCCTTTTCTTTTGCAACGGCTTCTGGGATTTTCCATCCAAAAGATGAACATGTCCTTGCTTGGCCAACTGTAGCTTGAAATGGTCCAGTTGCAGAAAGATTGTACTTCGTGCTAATACTGATGATGCACGTTTAAACTGGTTCTAATCTAAGAGGACGCACTTCCAGACGTTCCGATTGCACGCAGAAAGGAGTAATGTGGGCAATGTTAAACAGGGTGTTTGTGAAAGACAAAGCCTCTTCTGTTCACAGATATCTAAATACAGCCCACAAAGGCATCCTGAGCAACGTCTTGCTTCTGTTAGCTAACAGACCATACGCAGTTTTTTTCCCAGGCAGCAGCTGCTGCAAGCTCTCCTGGGCTTGTGAGCTTAGCTCAGTTTGCTGCACTGCTGACACCTTGCGAATAATAATCTGGGCATCGTGTAGGCCTTACGGCTGTGCAGAACAAAAATAAAAAGGGAAGGATATCATTGGGGTGTATTTAGAGCAGGGTGGTGGTGGTGGTTAATTCAGATGACTCACCACTCATCAAGCCCATCTTTATGGCCTGATTGCACCATTGCCAAAAACAGATGGAGGAGAATCAACATGGCAAACATAGATTCATTAATAACCTGGGTGTGTACTGCTTAAATACTTAATTTTAGATAGGGGGTGGGGAGAGATAATTAACTGTTAGTGAGTTCTTACCACAACACAGACTGAGCTCACTAACAGTCGATTGTGCTGTTGACCATTTACTAGATAGAAACTTTGCAATCTTTGGTACTGACCCAACTATATGAGAATCGTACCACACCTATTCTGGATCTGCTGGATGAGGTTTATAGGACATGGTTCTCCCTGACCTTCTTGGACGGAAGGATCCTGTCCCCTGGGAGCTCCTTCCCTAGCCCCGACCCCCAAGCGAGGCCCAGCAGTAGTGGCACAGAGAAAAAGTACGGGAGAAGTGGTTCAGCATTTCTGAATTGGTCCTCAAAGATGACATGAACTTCAGTACATACGTGACATCAGGGTCATTCATATAATATGATTTTTAAATGTGTATGTACTTATTTATGATACTAAACATTTTCAAAGTTTGCTTTCAGGACCAAAGTTCATGATTCTGATTTTGTCTCCCTGAGTGTTAAGGCAATGGCACAGGAGGCTGGCGATGGTTAGGGTTTCTGTCTGGTTGATGTTTGAAGTCCTTAAGCCTAAGAATATCTATAGGAAAGAATGCAGAACTATCAAGAAATTTTAATTGATGCATCTGCCTTTCTCCCTCTTTTACACACACACACACACACACACACACACACATGCATACACACACGTTTAGCTCCATGAGATGGTGCCTTATGTATTCAAAACCCTTCACATCTATTATTAGACCTATTATGGTAGGCAATCATACAATGACATTTAGATATCTCATTATTTATTTTTTTTATTATTTATAATAGAAGCAAGCGCAAGATCAATTGCTTGGATTTTCTCTTCTGTAAACAGCCTTCCAGGAGGAAGTGAGATTAACATACTTTCTCTGAGATGCAAATTTTCTCTCTGTGGGGAGATCGGAGGTACTCTCTCCCCCTACAAACCCCAAAGGGGAAGAAATGGAATCATTTGCACCTAAGAGTAGCCAGCTACTCCTACTTTTCGGCCACAGAGAAAATGGTATGCTGAGGTTCTTAAACTTCTAGAATGCTGATGGTTTGGTTGCTGTGGCGATGGTCTTAACAGGGAGGATGCAGCCCTCAAATGTGGAAAAAAATCATTTAGAGAGAGAAGAGCAGCAGAGGAAGGAGACTCTTGTCCACCTCTTCTCTCTGGACTTGGAGATGGCTTCGAATGGAAGGTCCAGCAAAAGCCTAGAGTCCATCTTCTAGCTTAGCCTTTTCTCACTCCATAATGTGGCAAGACAAAGGCCCAACTCTCCTGGTTAGTCCCAGCTTGAGCAGACCTATGGAACCAACTGGGGAATGGTGAGCTAACCCCTAGTTAATGGAAACATAGAATAATGAAGTTGGAAGGGGCTTATAAGGCCATTGAGTCCAACTCCCTGCTCAGTGCAGGAATTCAAGGCAAAGCAGATCTGACAGATGGTTGTCTAATTTTCTCTTGAATAGTTAAATCTAATTAGTTCAGTAGGAATTAATTAGATTTAACTAGTTGTGAATATCAGCAGGATTCAGTCCTAGGTTTTCTGTTGATCTGATTTTACTGGCAAACAGAAGCAACAGGGGGATTTCTCCATTACTTTCCCAGAACTTTTCTCCCTCTGAAAATGAACATTCTGTATTTTTTTTTCAAATGTGTTTGGACACATATTAAAAACATACTATTTTTGCAAGCTTTCCTTGTGCAGCTCCAACTTATCATCTGCTTTCTGAACAATGTGCACAATGGCCTAACAGTCCCCTTCCTACTCCATTATGCTATGACCCTGTATATTTCAATGTATATTGTATGCATTGTATGCTTTACACCTGTCGTCTACCACTTTGAGGCCATCAGATGTAAGTGGTTTTAAATATTCATAAACACATAATAAATGACTGCCTGGCAAGTCCTTTACCAAGGAAGGAATTGAATCTGGGTCAGAACACAGGCTGTATTTCCTAAACCCCCTAGTTTGCTACGACCCTGTGTATTTCAATGTATATTGTATGTATTGTATGCTTTACACCTGTCGTCTACCACTTTGAGGCCATCAGATGTAAGTGGTTTTAAATATTCATAAACACATAATAAATGACTGCCTGGCAAGTCCTTTACCAAGGAAGGAATTGAATCTGGGTCAGAACACAGGCTGTATTTCCTAAACCCCCTAGTTTTCCACTTAGTTAATGAGACCTTCCTCTAGGGTCTTCCATATTCTTTCAGTCTTCTTAATACCTATTCCTTGTTTGTTTGTTTGTTGACTTCAGGGTGTGGGAAGCTCACAGGAGTAAGCAACCCCATCACCATCCGAGCATCTGGATCCAGGTTTGGCTCTTGGATGACAGACACCATGGCCCCAAGTTCTGATAGTCGGGTGAGTACACGAGAGGCACAGTACCCCAGAGTTTTTGTCCACCTTCCACTAGAAAATTAGTTAGGAAACTCCACAGATGCAGGCAGCTGAATGCCAATAGCCCTCAACCAAGGAAATGATGTTCTTTTAAATCCAACCCAAATAGGATTAGTTTCTGAGGTTATTTGATCTGCATGAAGCCTGACTTAATAAGCACAAATGCTACTCATCAACAGAGAAGACATAAGCTTGACACACCACCACCCACGTAGCATTAAGATGTTCTATCTTAATTAGAAAATGGAGCATCAGCACAAGGCAGAAGGAAATGGCATTAACCAGGTACTGGAAAGAAAATAGGTGGGGAGACGGAGACTGGAATCCATGGAGAAGGAAGCAGCCAGCCGCCTTCAGCCTCAGTCAAGAGGAAACAGATCGAGCCATGCCATTAGACAGAGTGAGGCTGCTGCTCCTGTTAACACAGGTGCTGGAGAGCATAGTAGATAGACCTGTGTACGGTATGTGGCCTGCTCTGAGTCTTCCCCCACCCTCAAGCTAACCTGTTGCGCTGCAGTGGAAGGTGCTGTCCTGTGGCTGATACTGAGATGGGATTCATTCTGATCAGACTCGTCATGGATGGGAGAAATGCAATTTGTCCAGCCCAACAGGGGATTCAGAAATGATGGTTCTTTCTCTTGGCCACACCAAAATGTGACCAGGAAAAAACCTCTCACACACACACACACACACACACAGTGTGACCAGGAAAAAACCTCTCTCACACACACACACATCCATACACTTAGTGTCCAAGCAAGTCTACACGGCCTCCTAAGTCAGCATCTTTTGGAGTATAATTTATATTGTTTTTGCAGTTCAGCTTAATTGATGCTCTGCAGGAAATGCAGAGGTTTGAATGTGGTCGGTGTCACAGTCCCTGGAAAGTTCAGAACCCCTGTTGTAGGCAAAAACAAAATCAAAATGGGAAAGCAGAAACAATAAGGAGGGTGGAAATTAGTCTATTAAAAAGGTGTTCTGAGCCTACAGGACAGATGCATTGTTTTTTTTCAGCTCTTGTGTGTCAGGAGCCCATTGGCTAGTTAACCACTTTGTCAGAAAAAATAGTGTTTTTGGCAAATTGTGCAGTCCCAAGGCGTCCCCAAAAGAAGGGAATAGAAAAACACATCTGAGTACTCTCTGCCTGAAAAACCCTGGAAAGTGTGGCCATAAGTCAGAATTGACTTGACAACACACAGTTCTTAATCTCATGTGGGTTGGTGGCGGGTGGAGGCTGGAAGGGAAAGTAGGGGGACCAGAGTGAAAATGATGAAAGGCTCTCAAATGGACCAAGCAATGGAAGGAGGTGGGCGGAACCCTCTGGAAGCAATCAGTTCTTATCGCTAGGAAGAGCCCCCTTTCCCCCCATAGCAACTTGATGGATACAGGTGAAATGGAAGGGAATGAGAGAAAGGAGAGACGACAGAAGAGAAGAGAGAGAAGGAGCGGGAGACCCTCCAAGATGGGGAAAGGAGATGGCCAAAAAAAGAGAGAAAATGAATCAGAAAGAAAGAAAACAGCCCCATCTGCTTTTTCTTTCCCTCCCAAAGCATCACCATAGGAGAATGCAGCCCTTGAGAAAGGCAGCGGGGTGAGGAGAGTGCTCCCTTCATGTCAGAGGCTGCCATGAGCTACCCGTAGGCCTCTAGTTTAGAACAGGATGCAGCAGACAAAGGCACCTGTCCTGAATCCCGCTCGTTAGAGGATTCTTCACACTGTCTGGCCAAGACTCCCTAGGAAAGGTTGTCATTCTGGGGTAATGCATAGGGTTCAGAAGAGGAGAGCAAGGAAGGAGCATTGGGCATAATTAGCTATGTGACTGGAGAAATGGTATGTGTCCCAGAAAGGCAGGATTTTCTTTGCAGGAGATCCCATGAGGGCAGAGATGACTTGAATAGAAATGAGAAGGTGTGGGAATTTACCTGAGGCAACAAAACAATGACCTGCTGTTCAGTGTCATCTTCAGGTCTCCAGTGGATGATCAGGCGCTTACGTTCAGGACAAGGAAGGAAATGCACAGACTTGTTTGCCTTCCCCCCCTCCCTTCTCTCTAGTGACATATTTCTGTGTTAGTGTGGTATTTTACCTATTTCCTAACTAACTTTCAAGACCATACTCTCCCTAAGGCAGCTTATACTAGATTAAAAAAAATAATACAGTTCCATATCAAATATATTCATAAATTCACATTAAATCTAAATGGCCATTTTGAACAAACTAGTTGCAATAAAGAGCCATTTAGGGACATGCATCAGCAGCAGAGACCGTAAACACTTTGGGTTGAAAACCAGAAATGACAAATAGGTTTTAAGAAACAATCTTAAAAGTGGTCACAGATGAGGCCCGCCACATAATGTTCAAGGAGGAAACAGCCCCAACAGTGAACAGAAGATGGAGTATTTGTGAGAACACTTATGGCTGTTCCCATGCAATATGAATGGTAAAGAAGTGACATCACTATGTCATTCCTCTTATCCTCTTAAAGATGGTGAGGGTGGTGAGGGTGATACTGCTGCTGGTGGCAATGAGGATAATGAAATATTTACAGTTGCATAGTTAGTCATTCTAGCAGAGGAATTTTGGAGCTGAGGTCAAAAATGAAAATGTTACGGCCTCTGATTACATCCTAGTCCCTATGAACAATAACAATCATTTCAAAAGACAATAGGCAGGTTCCAATAGAATTAGGTATGCCTGTGGAACTTCAGTTATGGGATTCAGAGCAGCAAATAGCTGGTAATTAACCAGCCCTTGATCAAATTCCTATGGTTGTGCCCATTGCAGAACTCAGAATGCAACTAGGAATTCAGTCAGTAACTCATCAATTGGGATTGTTTGCCGCTCCAAGTTACACCACGGCATTTGTGCATGTGTAAATAACAATATGATGATGATGATCTGCGGAGCTGGAAGGGACCCTATGGATCATTGAGTCCAGCCTCTGTCAAGGAGGCACAATCAGGAATCGAACTCCATGAACACTAAAACAAAACATATAACTGGGCAATGCCATTATTAGGTTCCAATATAAATTCACAGAATTTATAAAGTGCACTGAAGGGGAATGCAGATTGTCCCTCTCCCTCAGTCCAGAATAAAGAGACAAGACTAGGTGATGGGTTTAACTAGTGCAGAACTTTACTTACTGACTGACTGATTGACTAACTTACTGGATCGGCCAGCACCCTCCTGGTTGCGCTCTGCAATGTCCCCCAAAGGACCTCCTCTTCCACAGGATTCTCCAAAGCAATGGGGCTAGCCCTCATTAAGCCCCTTGCCCCACCCTGAGCTGAGATTATCAGCTTTAAGGCTGAGGCTCTGGCAAATGAACCTCCTCACAAGTCCCACAAGTCCGCCACAGCCATAATGCCTTAACTATTGGGGAAAAAACTCAAAAAAACCCAAAAAACCATTAAATCCCTAGTGATACCAGTCTCACGCCACTCTGGTGACCACTCACCAGCACACCATAGGCCTCTGTCATGAATTCTAAAGACCCCACAGAGTCAGTGTGTACCTAAAATTCCACCCCTAACTGGACTTCTGTTCTCTGAAGGGAAAACCCACTGAATTCTTCTAAAACCTTCAGCCATGCCTGCAAGTCCTCCTGCATGTCTGCAGTGATCCTCCTCCTGTGATGTGACTTAGTGAGGCCACACATTGCATCACACAACCATTTAAGGAATGCCCTAGCTGGTGCAATCACTTGGATATTCCTGGAGTGTGATCCCGGTTGGCTAACAAACCCATAATCCTATCCCAAAATTCAGTGAGCTTGCTGTCCAGTAAGTGAAAAGACTATTGAATAGTGTCCAACTCAATACCCAAATACATTAGAATGGGGAAGGCCATTCAGTCTTCTCTTCTGTCAGAGGAATTCCCAGGTCTTATGTGAGCCCCTGGAATGCTTCTGTAAGGATCTTGCACTGCTCAGAGCCCCTTCTCCTGGAAAATAAAAAATATTGTCCACATAATGGACTGCATATGGCAAATCCACCCAGCACTTAAGCACCCACTCCAAAAAGGAGCTGAATTGCTCAAACACAACACATGAGATTGAACATCCCATAAGAGTGCCCCGTCCATGTAAAAGGAATCTTCAAAAGTAAAACCTAAAACCTTGAAGTCGTCTGGGTGTACAAGTACGAGGGGAAATGCTGACTTAATGTCCCACTTTGCCAGTTTCCACTCCATAAGTGCACACCATGAATCAAACAATGCAGAACTCCTGCAGTATGCCACCATTTCTGGAATTTTCCTCAGGATAAGAAAAATGATTGAAACTTGGCAGGTGTCACCATATCCAATGGGGAAACCCTCAGGTAGGGTACTGGAGAACATTGCAAAAGGTCCCAGCACCCTGCCCTCATGAACTTCCTTATCTCTCTTGGCTGCAGCCTCCAAGAACTGGTATCATCTTTATGTTTCCAGGGGCATGGTTCTGGCTGGACTGGGGCTCTTCTAAACGATTAAGGGAACCTCTGGGGAGCTTCTTGGTTCTCCCAGAGTCCTTGTTGCTTCCTTTCCTAGGTTGCCCTTTAAAGCATGCTGTGAAAAAGTGTGTCCCTCAACAAATGGAGCACTTCTGTTCAAATTTACTGCATTTCCTGTTACACACTCCCTGGGCTTTGAACAGCCAGCGCAAGGGGCAGGGTTGAACTTCCTGTCGCATCAACGTGTGAGGAACATTAGACTGGCTTGGTTTCTGAACTAAATGTTCACACATGGACAATACTCCATTATTTCCAGTCCCTCGTGTCTCAATCAATGTGTTCATGGAGGCAAACATAAAAACTGTAGCCCCGACAGGTGGGCTGCATTAATAGCATTGTTCAGAAAAGGCATGATGAAAACCAAGTTATTTGATAAGTCATGAGATGTGTGTCAAAGCTACTGTTCAGAGACTAATAGCGTATACAAAAGCAAGGACATCAGTTGCATAAGAATATCTGAATGTAGGAATT